CAACATCAGAATCATAGGGGTCCCAGAAGAGGAAGAGAGAGGAACAGGGGTAGAAGGGTTATGTGAGAAAATCAGAGTGGAAAACTTTCCTAACCTGGGGAAAGACACAGACATCAAAATCCAGGAAGCACAGAGGACTCCCATTAGATTCAACAAAAACCAACCATCAACACGGCATATCATAGTCAAATTCACAAAATACTCAGGCAAGGAAAGAGTCATGAAAGCAGCAAGGGAAAAAAAGTCCTTAACCTACAAGGGTGTCGTAGACTCTAAGTCTAAAGTTCTCTTTTGTCTAGCAAAAGAGCAGACACAGGATTAAAATGAGAGATGGCTAATGTCTGGGAAAAAGACAAGAGTCCCGAATAAGGGTCCTTGCCTCGTATTTATTCAGATCAGAAGGCTTACAAACGTGATGGGCGTGCACAAAGAGACAAAGAAACTGTGAACATTAACTTGAGGACGTGAGGGGGAAAAGGGGGTCTTGAAAATACAGTATCTGGGGTTTGGGTCAATATAAAACAAAATCCATGGGAATGCAAGCTGGTGCAGTCACTCTGGAAAACAGTATGGAGGTACCTCAAAAACTAAAAATAGAACTACCCTACAACCCAGAAATTGCACTACTAGGTATTTATCCATGGGATACAGGTATGCTGTTTCGAAGGGGCACGTACACCCCAATGTTTATAGCAGCACTATCAACAATAGCCAAAGTATGGAAAGAACCCAAATGTCCATTGATGGATGAATGGATAAAGAAAATGTATGTGGTGTGTATATATATATGTGTGTGTGTGTGTGTGTGTGTGTACATATATATACACACACATATATATACCACATTAAATTAAAATATTTTTAATTTTTTCTACTATATTTATATACATACACACACACGAACACACACACACAATGGAGTATTACTCAGCAATCAAAAAGAATGAAATCTTGCCATTTGCAACTATGTGGATAGAACTGGAAGGTATTATGCTAAATGAAATTAGTCAGAGAAAGACAAAAATCATATGACATCACTCATATAAAACAGATGAACATAAGGGAAGGGAAACAAAAATAATATAAAAACAGGGAGGAGGACAAAACAGAAGAGACTCATAAATATGTAGAACTGAGGATTACTGGAGGGGTTGTGGGAGGGGGGATGGGCTAAATGGATAAGGGACACTAAGGAATCTACTCCTGAAATCATTTTTTCACTATATGCTAACTAATTTGGATGTAAATTTTAAAAATAAAAAAATAAAAAAATAAAAAATAAAATAATAAAAGAGGGGAAAAATGTATACATAAAAAACAAAATCCAGGTGCTGGGCAGATGGGTGGATGGTTGTTAACAGCAGACAGGAGGCACCTTGCCTGTTTATCTTTGCCAGCCTAGGGGATGAGACAGATAGGGGGAATAACCTCAGGGTTAATAAGACACGTTTTTGTTTGTTAACCATCTGCGCTCTGGGCTGCTTTACCTGCATCACAGCAGTCCAAAGTCCAATTCACCAATTTACCCACCCTGGCCCTATTCTCCTGTGAAAGCAGCTTTCTGCTATAGTACTAAACTTGGGGTGCTTTCACCCTGAATATCTAATCTTGTTATTCCTATGTATTGGGCACCTTTGCACCAATTCTGTTTTCAGGACTTTGCCTCTCCCTCTCTATTTTGGGGGGTTCAGCACCCCCTCCCTATTTGGGGGTGCCTTTTCACCCCCACTATTCTTGGCACTTTTGTGCCTCCCTATTCTTAGAGTGCCA